GAAGGGTGGAATGGACACATGGCCCTGAGCAGGTCAGGAGAACAAGATGGTGATGGAAATGAGGGATGATGGAAGATGAGGAGCCAGCATGACCTTGTTGGAAATCCCATGGTACCTTGTGGGACCTTTGCTGCTCACAGTTCTGGTACCCCAAACACAAGAAAGACATGGAACTGCTGGATGAAGTCCAGAGGGGACCACTAAGTTGATGAGAAGACTGGAGCACTTTCCCTACAAAGACAGGCTGAGAAGATTGTGGCTATTCATCCCGGAGAAGAGAAGGTTGTGTGGAGACCTCATAGGAACCTTCCAGTACCTGAAGGGGCCCACAGGGAAGCCAGAGAGGGACCTTTTGTCAGGAGCTGTAGTGATAGGACAGGTAATAATAGGTATGAACTGAAAGAGGGGAAATGTAAACTAGATATTAGGAAAAATATTTTACTGTGAAGATAGTGGAAGGTGAGATAGTGGAAGATACTGTGAAGGTGAGATAGTGGAAGAAGTTGCCCAGGGAAGCTGTGGATGCCCCCTCACTGTCAGCATTAAAGGCCAGGTTGGATAGGGCCCTGAGCAACCTGGTCTAGTGGGAGAGGTTCCTGTCCATGGCAAGGGTGGATTGGGACTGGATGTTCTTTAAGGTCCCTTCTAATCCTTGGCGTTCTATGATTCTATGACCTGATCTACTACTGTGCCTCTATTTCACTCTCTGTTAAATATTTGTGGGTGGGGGAGATTTTCCAGGGCTTTTCACAGATCAAAACTGGAGGGTGCCTCAAAAACCATCATGCTTTGCTCTATTTAAGAATGACTTCATCCTGTCTGATAAGTCAGACAAGGGCAGGAGGAGTGTGGAGCAGGATGGGGCGGATGGGTTCCTGGTGAGCAGGAGGGTTCCACTCTATTGCCCAACAATGAGGCCAGGGCCACCCCTGGCAACCCCATCACAAAGAGCCCTTCTCTGTCCCTAAAGACAAACACAAGTAATTCTGCTCCTGCTGGCAGCATTACCTCGCTGATTACCTCTGTCTGAGTAGCCCCGTAGCTGTAGCAGCCCCGAAGCTGTAGCAGCCTGGGCAGGGCAGCACCCTGCCCAAGGCAGGACCTCACCCATGACCGACCACGTATCTCCAAATGTCCCTCCATCTCCCGCTTCTGGCCAGCACGACTGGAACAGGCCTGGGCTCGAGGAAGAGCAGCATTTGCAGGTGATGAACTTTTGGCTGGCTTCAGGGCAAGGGACAGTGGGTGAGCTGAAAGGCTGTGGAGGCCATTATCCTGGGAATGGAGAGGGGGCTGGTGGTACAGAGAGCAAAGACATTGGCTGAGAGACACATGGGGTGTGTGAGACTTGCTTCGTGCCTGCCATCCATAAAGAAGAGAAGGAGACCGACCATGAGTGTGGAACATGAGATCATAGGGAGCAGGTGCTCCAGGTTATGTCAAACAGGGTCTGTTCTGGACAGCAAAAGTCATACCAGTGCTGTTATGGGTCTCTGACTGGGTCTTGCTTCCTGAAGGGCACTGGAGATATTTTAGTGCCCTGTTCATTTGGTCAGATTGAGGAACAGGCTGTTCTTGCCCATGGTGAGCAGCTCTTCTGCTCAGCTGTCTGTTTGTGCTCCTCTTGGCCTCTGGGGAGAAAATGCTCCACCAGCAGTGCTGAAGTGAATGGAGTGGCAATGTTCCACCTGCTGATTAGCCTAATTAAGAGATAAATGAGCTCCTGGGTGCAGAGGAAGCATGTGCATTGTCAAATTGAGTCAGAGAAGTTATTCCTTGCCAAATGCCCTGGAGTGCCTGGGTCCTCATTCTTCCCAGGGCTGCTCTTGCAGGACCCAGGGACATTTTTCTCCTGATTCTTCATTACCATAGGTATCAACACCAGAATTGTTAGTGGATCTTGACTGTACCAAAACTTTCCTTTCCAAACTGAGAGTTTTATTAATACTGCTGAAAGCACACCTGTCTTGGGGAGGAAAGTGGGTTTGGTTTAGCAGTTGGCTGCTTAAAGCAAAGTGGAAAACGTGGCAAAATCATTGTTGGACCACTGTTGAGTGAGGTTTCAACCTGTGAGGGTATCAAAGCAAACATCAGGAGGTAGTATGGAGTAAGCATGAGCAGCCAATGCTCTTCTAACAAACCTTACAGGATCACTAAACGATAGCACCCACAAGAAGTAAGTTAACTCACGACTGTGATGGGCTAATGCTGCACATGGACAAATGGCTTTGAGAGTTTGGCTGAAAATCAGAGGAAAGTGTCTAATCTGCAGAGCAGCAAATTCTGGTAACAGGGTACAACAGAAGGAGTTGGGCAACGATCATCAAATACTAAAATGCAGAGTGGGCAGGTCACCAAAGAGCAGATACGGTGTGGCTGCCTGTGTCAGTAGGGGACAGTGTTTAGTGACCCCTAGATCCTCGTCAGCCCTGAGGGTAAGTGAAACCGAGCAAGTGTGAGCAGGTTGCTGTTGGGAAACCAGGAGATATTTGCAATCCAGCCCTTGGCTGACTCACTTGGCTTGCACTTGCTCAAGATCATCATGTCTGGATGCAGGGAGAAGGGGCAGTCCAGCCCACCTGGCTGTTGTGGGTGCACATGTTGGAGCCCATCACTCCATGTCTGTGTGCAGACACTGCAGGGACAGTGCCAGTATCTACTGTGACTCATGGGTCAGGCATCAGATGCTTATTTTAGGTGAGGAGGAATTGCCCTTTGGAGCTGCCTATTTTTCTCTGCTTGTTATAAACTCAGGCACAGGCTCACACACTTTGTGTTTGTGCACTCACAGAGCAGAGGTGCTCTGACCTACATGACCTTTGGAAAGGTGATGGTTTCATTATTTTTAGTCCTTGAACACTAGCAGGTCACTTTAATGTCTCAAAATGGCCATCAGAACCTCAAAATTAAAGGATTCTCACATTTTCAGCAGCCAACAGAGCCCTTCTGAACATCTTAAGTGGAGAAATTAATGTCTCAGTGCCATCTTGTGGAACTACCTGTATAAAAGGACAAGCTCCTAGAAGCATGCTGGAGTTTTACAGAGTTTGATGATAATATTGGGAATTATGCTGCAAATATTATCACCAAACCAAAGATTTCTATTGCAAACTGGGATTGCATTTTTCCCTGAGGAGACTGCAAGTTCATGGGAATCCAGTGTTTCCAGAAAGTGAGAATAGAGCAGTTCAGTGGGAACAGAACACAGCAGGAAAGTGGCAATTTCAGCCTGAATCAGAAAATTGAGATGCCTACAATTGATGCCTGAATGCAAGAGACAAAGCTTATCAGATACACAGCAGCTTCACTATTTGCCCACAGGGAAGGAATTCACTTGGAAGGCTCCCTGAGATCTAGGAGAAAAAAATAAACTTGTAGGTCCAATTGTGGATGTTACTGACCCACTGATACCTTGTCCATCAGAGAAAGGCTGTGAGATCTCCAGCACCTGGAGACACAAGGATCTCAGATGACATGTAAAGTCAGTTGGAAATTGCCATGAGCAGAAGAAACTTGAGGGTGTTGTCACCACCCCAAGCTGCTGCTCCAGGACCCATGGTTTGTGCTCCACCAAGAAACATTTGCATGGCAGAGAATGAAGTGACCTAGAAAGGTTTATTCTGTGCTACAGCACAGGTCACAGGCCCACAGGACAGAAACCTTCCCACCTAGAAATATGCTGTAGAAACACCCTCACAAGCAACATGATTACCATCCATCATAATTAAATGATCCTCAGTATCAGAGACAGACCAGTAATTTACTGCATATTTAGCCAGGTGTTCACTGAGGTCAATAGCTAATCTCTCACTGGAGGAGGGATTACCCCAGTACATAAAACTCTCCCTGCCACATGACATAAAATGATCTATGGAGCAGAGAGGAGAATCAGCTTCCCAGGCTCTTCCATACAGCTGCTGAGTGCCCTGAGGGTGAAAGAAAAGCTCATGAACTTTTGCCGTGCAGTAGAGGAGAGGGAGGCAAGGCCAGGGGCAGCATGAGCAGAGCACCATGTCCCTATCAGGGCAGCTGCTGACACTTCTGCAGAGCTGTGCCCTCCCGAGCCACACTGACAAGTGGCAGCAGGTTGAGAGGAAGGCGAAGAAAACTGGCAAATAACGGGAAAAGGTCTTGAGTGTTCAGTGGATATAAGTTTTTCCATGATTAAGCAAAGGTGTTAAAACCTTGGAAAGGTAAGAGCAGCTGGTGAGCAGGGAGATAGGCAGAGGGAATGAGATGGAGGAGGAATCAGGACAGCGACGGTTCTGCTCTGGCAGCCAGGTAAGACTGAAGCTCTCTTGGGCCACCTCTCCTTGCTGAGGTTGGTTTCTCCTTGTCCTGTATGAGAGGACAGACAGGGTGGCTGGTGGCAAAGCTCTCCGTGAGTGTGAAGGCACCTGCAGAATGCACAGGTGCATTCAACAAGAGCAAATATTCCACCTGAAACAATGCACTGTGCTATTCCCAGCTGCAGACAGCAGAGCCCACCAGCTCCAGGCAGAGCATCCTTGCTACAGGAGATGTATCCAATGGTCTTGCACAGCCAAACAGTCCCAATCCAATCTATTTAAAAAATCCAGTACCAAACCACCAGTCAATGGGTTACAACGCAGAGCAAAGCCAAAATTCCTGTTCAGGTCCTGTAGAAAAGGTTAAGGAGAACGACAGGCTGCAGGAGCATATAAAGGTTTTTGACAGCTCCACTGCTCTGGGGTTAGGCTCTTCTGGGCAGAGGCACAGTGCCACCAATGCTCTCATAACAGAAATATTACATCCCTTCCACAGGGCTTTTACAGGATGGCATATGGGGGAGGGAGGGAAGGGGTGGGGGAAAGACTTTGAAGCTAGCTGCTGCTTTGTTGTCTTGTTCATGGTTAACCAAAGGAGAGAAGGTGTCTGGGGGTGAAGAGAGGGTGCCAAGTTTCAAAGGGTAACCTGTCTCAGGGCAGTGAAGTGTGTCATCACAACAGGAGCACACAGGCAGCTTCAAGGGGAAGACAATGCTGGAGAAGACTAAGAAGGCGTTCAGGATTCGTAACACTGCTGTAAGGGGGATGCTGGCAGAAGCACTGGGAACGTTCATCCTCATGGTAAGAAGGAGTTTGTGCATGTGCATGTGCATGTGTCTGTGTGTCTGTGCAGCCACTTAAGGCAGCGATTTGTAAGGTCAGTGGTTTCCTACCACATCCTCAGGGTTTCCCAGTGGCTGATTGCTGCTGCTCACCCCACTGCTTTGGTGGGGTGGCAGTTTCCCAGCAGGCAGACCATCTGCCAAAAACCTTCTGGAGCAAAAAAGTAATGCATGGAAATGGAGATGGGTGTTGTGAGAGAGTGGGATAGAATTAAAACATCACAGAATTATTCAGTTGGGAAAGACCTTTAAGAGTTCAAGCATTAACCTGGCAATGTGGAGGCCACCACTAAACCATGTCCCTAAGTGCCACAACTACATGTCTTTTAACTACCTCCATGGTATTATATATATTTAATATCTCTAAACCCACCACTTCTTTGGGCAGCCTGTTCCAATGATTGACAACCTTGCCGGTGAAGAGATTTTTCCTAATATCCAATCTAATCCTCCCTTGGCACAATTTGAGGCCATTTCCTTTTGCCCTGTTACTTCTTATATTGAGAAGGGACCAGCCCCCTGTCTACACCCTCCTGTCAGGGGGCTGGAGAGAGTCATCAGGTCCTCCCTGAGCCTCCAGACTGAACATCCCCAGCTCCTGAAGCTGCTCCTCATCAAACTTGTCCTCCTGTGGACCCTTTTCCAGCTCCACTGCCCTTTCTGGACGTGTTGCTCTTTCAGTTCTCTTCTAGGAGAAAATTAAGGAAGAGTTTGGGAATGAAATCAAAGAGTAGTGTCTATAATGCTTGTAGAAGATCCCATACAGTGAATGGAGGCTTTTCCTTCTGCTGTGCCGGAGGTGTGGTGTAGCTGGGGGGGTCTGAACTGGTCTGGGGACCAGACCTGGAGTCTTCTATCACTGACAGCTGCTGCAAAATGAAAATAGCATTCATCCATCTTCCCCTCAGGGTTGCCAGGGTAATGAACTTTCCAGAGAAATTCTCCAGAACCACAACCCACCATTAGGAAATGTAATTTCAGGGTGTGAAGAATGCCAGGATTTCACTTTTGATTTTCTAGGTGCCAAACCAACAGTGCTTATGTAAATCATACACAAACTGCCCCCTTGCCTGAGGGATCTGTTTCACAAAGAAATAATTCAGTGGGTTTGAGCTCCTGGGCTGCTTCAGAAATGTTTGGGTAGAGGATTAGGAAGGTTTTTCAGTCACTGTGGGGGCTGGTGGGGGTGAAGTACCCACTGGGACCAGAGACTTCGAGTGTTTGATCAACAGAGCAGAATGAGATCCTCCCTCTGAAAAGGCCCAGAATCTATCTGTGCCAATTTACCACACCTTGACTTACCCTGGGATGAGACACTTTAGACTGGACAGAAGCTGGCATGCAAAGGCTGGGCATAACTTAAATAATTTGTACTTGGAGATTTAAAGAGGAAGAAATTAAGATTTGTGTAAGCATAGGGACCTGCTGACACACCTTTCTGTACCAAGAAAGGCACTCATTTCCAAGGACATCAACTGCCTGTACAGAGCATGGTTACTTTTTATCATGTGATTTTGCACATCCAGCTCTTTGAATTTCACTCCCAGGTAGTTTTGCACACATAGTAAGTCAGAGTACAGACATCTGTGACTCCTCTGCAGCAGCTTAGCAAATCCTTTTGCCTTTTCCATTCTCTGTTATTTGGTGGTAGAAGTTCCCAGGTGATAAAGAACAACTTCAGGGTTGTCCTGTCAAGGAAGTAGTATGAGGTGGAGAATTTACTCTGCACTCTGACAGTACAAGGCAGGTTTGGAGCCTGCAGCTCACACTGGCTCTTCCTTCACTGATCCATGCGAGGGAAGAGGGAAAAGGGGGGCACATGGGCCCCATCAAGGGCTGAAGACAAACAGCATCCAGCATCAGAACAAAGCATAGAGCACCCAAATCTTCAGCAGACCTTGGCCCTCAGTGCAACAGGCAGTGTTCTGGATGTTCTGGCAGTGTTCAGGCACCTCCAGGATGCCTGAATGGCTGTTGTTTGGATGATAACATTCACCCCAGGGCCTTTCAGTGTAATGGACAGGCAGTGTTGTTAAGAGGAACCCGGCAGCAGAACTAAGCAGCACAAGGACTAGGGAAGAAGAAATTGAAAAAAAAGGTGTTTTGGGACTGTGAGGATACAGGAAGAAAACAGAAGTTTGGATCTGTGCTGAAAAACAGATTCTGCGTCCTATTTTGTATTTTTTTTTTCAGGATAGTGCTGTTTATGCACAGTCATGTCTCCTCCTCTGCAACGCTCTCTCTGCACCTGTGTGCTCTCCTGCAAAACTTGTGCCTTACTTTTTTTTTTTTTTTTTTTTTGTATCTGGCCTTGGAAAAAATCACAGATGAAAAAGAGATGGAAAAATCAGAGAATTTGTGTAATTTGCAGATGTTAAGGGGACATCACAAACTGTTTCTGGGATCTTTTGCTGAGGCATACTGAGGGGGGCTGACACTGGGGGCTGTGGCTCTGTGCAGAGCACAGAGTGTGGTCTGTGTCACAAGAGTGATAAGAAGAGCAGCCTCTCTGGGGAACAGGGGATTTGGGTGATGTCTGAAAGCAGCAAGGGGAAAGCAGACAATGTGCTGGAGAACACATTGACTTTCTTGTCTTTGAAAGACATGTCACCTTGTATAAACATCAATGGAGACCAAGGAACAGGACACACTTTCCAAACCCTCAGTGGTTTGTGAGGCAGAAACCTCAAGAGACACCTTGTCCTTCTCTAGATTTCAGCGTAAGAGCATGCAAATAACTGATTTTTCCACTCTTACCACATCAAAAGAATGAAATAGAATTCACTCTTTCAAGACAGAATAATATCCTGAATATGTGTTTTCCTGCTGAGGAGTGTTTACCTCTAGTTTTTCCCCTGGTTCTCCTTTAGTCACTAAAAAAACCCACTAAAACTTTGGCTGTTTCCAAACTGAAAATATATGTGTTGAATTGGAAAGTTAAACCCGAATTTCCTTTCTTGTCTTTTGCTCCAGTGTTACCAAAATTAGAGTTGAGTTCGGCAAACAGCTGTGTGCTGCCCTAACTACATATTTAGTCAATAAATTGCGCACCAGGAAAAGAAGGACAGTAAGAATTTGCACACCCTCCTCCTTCCATCCACCTTGGACGTTGCCTCCCAGTGGTCCAAGGTGATGCTCCCTCAATTCACATCCCTGGTTTAAGGCAGAGACATCTCCAGTGTGGCTGTGTGAATGACCCCAGTGAGCCCCAGCTCATGGTGTGAGTCTGGGGTTTGTCTCCCCATACTGAACCATAATGAGAGTGACTAGTTCGGTTTGGTGGGCACCAATCTCAGGTATCTCTTCAGTTTTTACAGGGCAAGGCTGTTCTTTGTCTTCTGACACCTTAGAGACTTCCTGTCTTTGGGAGTTTATTACTTTTGCAGAAAAAATGGCAAAGAAGCTCAGTCTATCACTGCAACAAAAATACTTTTAACACTCCTTCCTCTCTTTCTTTTTATACAGGTTTTTGGCTTGTCCTCTGTGGCACAAGTGGTATTGGGAAGAGGAAACAGTGGTCAGTATCTGAGCATCAATATTGCTTTTGGCATTGGCGTTACCTTGGGCATCTATGCGGCTGGAAAAATATCTGGTGAGCAGCACTGCCAGGCATATCCAAAAAGGCCATGGGCACGGGGGACAGGAGGAGTGGGATGTGGAGGGGTGTCTTATGGTATGGGCAGTGCCCTCACCTAAAAAAAGCAGTCCTAGAGTCCTCAGGTGTAAGAAAAGCAGGAGAGGACAGGGACAAGGCATGAACAGCATACATACAGAATACTGACCCCAAACTCGAGTTCTGAGTTGTGACAGGGCAAGTGGGACAGGGAGTGGGGAGTAGGATTGGCCAGCCCCTTCTGTTGTGGCCAGCAGAGCCAGGTTTCAGCAGCTGCTCCATTTGGGACATGCCAACATGGCCCAAGGAGACAGGGAGCTCCCAAAACCTGCTGCTGATACAACCCACGTAGAAGTAAATAATTTATTGAGAAGGAGAGCTTACTGCTGATGTTGCAAAAGGAATGGTATGAAAATTTCCTCCTTATCACACACTCCCATGCACAGATGCCCCACATGAACTTGGAAAGTAGTGTTTTGGGGCCATGAGGTAGCACCCCTCACATGACAAAAGCATTACCTTTGCCTTCTGCAATTTCTGCATTCATTTGCACCAAAAGAGAACATTAAGGGCCCAAATGGGCAGAAAGTTAAAGCATCTCCTTGATCTTGAACTGTTGGAGTAGACCGAACTTGAACTGAGTAGACAAACTTGTACTGAGTAGACAGAAGACTAAACATGGGGTTGCCTTGGAAAGGAAAAAATTTCCATGTAAGCAGCAGTGCAGAAGGGATCTCAACTCAGCCAGCAATAGTATGGTTACAAAACAAACTTCACACCTTCCTGACATAGTAATTTGGCTTCATCTGCTTCACAAGATACTTTTTGTTGTCTCTGAAATGGCTGGCCACAAAAGAGCAGAGTGTCTAAGAAGGGATCTGCCCCCATTCCAGTTGTGATTGTTGTACATGCAATTCCACTTCACTCTGTGCTGCATTTTGATGAAATGAGGGGTGTCAGCATCTTACCCCTTTTGGATTCTGGAGTAGAAGATGGTCATGAAGACTGGAACATTTACTGACCCTCAAAGTTTCTATCTATCAGGCAGGAAAAATAAATATTTTCTTTAGACTCCTGGGGATAGGAGGCCTAGAGAACACATGTGGTTTGCATCAAGGGCATGAGACCCAGACCCACTTAGTCTTCAAAAGCACCATTGTGATACCAACCTCCTGCACAGAAAGTGTTCCATCAAAACACAGGTCCTCATCTACCAGTAGCTACTTAAAATGTGCTGAAGTGTGGTCTCTTTTTAAGCTCAGTAGGGAGAAGCTCATTGAGAAACTCATAGGGAAACTCATGCCATGCCAAGAGAGGTGACATGACAGGTTATGTCAAATATCTGTCAGGTGAGATGACCTGTCTCTGGAGGCAGCCTGTGGTCTACACAATTCTCAGAGGACAAGCTAGGAGCTCTTTTACCTGCATGATTCAATTGTAGAGAGAGAAAGGACAATTTTGTGTTTGTGCAGGAATAATACCCTGACCTGAGAGAGTCTTGTTGTGCTGGGTCTGTCTGGGTGATTACTGTGGGTCATGGGGCATAGAACCACAGAATAGTTTGGGTTGGAAGGGACCTTTTTAAGTTCATCCAGTCCAACTGCCCTGCAATGAGCAGAAACATCAACTAGAGCAGGTTGCTCAGAGCCCTGTCCAACCTGGCCTTGAATGTTTCTTGGGATGGGGCATCCACCATGTCACATGTTCCAAACCAGCTGCATCAGTGTTGAGGCCTCTTTTTTCTGTGTTTTTGCAGGAGCTCATCTGAATGCTGCTATCACCATTACACAGTGTGTTATAGGAAACATCTCCTGGACAACGCTTGTAGCTTATATAACCGGCCAGTTCCTGGGCTCTTTTATGGCAGCAGCCACCGTCTTTGCTCTCTACTATGGTAGGGTTGTGTCTTTTATCACACAGGTTGCTGTAGGCATAATTTCAGTCAACCCACAGTGTTATCAAAATATGTCCTTTTGCAGTACCCAGCATGAATTCTGGGTGAGGAGGGCAAATTCCTGGGATGTGGGACAGACCACAGCTCAAGTTCAGAGCAGGTCCCAGATATACCTCTGGGAAGGCTACACACATCCTGGAGAACACAGCTCCTTTTACTCAGGGCAATCCCACTTCCAAGATCTGTCTTCAGCAGAAGGGCAGTCACTGCTTTTTGTCAGCATTTTGTTTCCAGGTCTACAGGGGCTTTATTTGCATAAACTACTGTGTATTAGGTGCTGCTGGAGCTCTGGGGGGACTCTACTGCTCTGTGGAACACAGGTTTGCAGCCATTTGGGGTTTTGAGCTGTGAGCAGAGGACCCACTGCCCATTGTCTCTAGCATGTCTCTGAGGGGCAGAGGGTTGGAGGCCTCCAGTGCATCCAGACACACCCAGACTACCCCAGGCTCCTGGAGCAGGGATAGGGAGCTGGTAGGTGTAAGGAAGTGAGTGCAGACCAAAGTCTGTGGGTAACAGCTATTGGTGAGATCATGCTCTGTCCTCGAGGAGTGTGTCACCTCCATCACATCTTCCACTGCCTCCCTTCTCCTTGATGTCTGTGCTGGCTGCAGCAAGTGGACTGACTTGTGTGTGTGTCCTGTGGGACAAACTGCTGTTCTAACTTCCATAATTCCCACTTCTCCTAGAGGCTATTTATTCCTACACCAATGGGAACTTTACAGTGACAGGACCAACTGCCACAGCAATGATCTTCTCTACGTACCCTGCTTCCAACGTATCCTTGAAGGGAGCCTTCTTCACAGAGGTCAGTGGGAATGCCTGTGGTGTGCCAGGAGAAGGTGGGTGGTTACAGGTGCTGCTGCAGGGCTGCTGCAGGTCCCCACAGCCCTACATGCACACACACAACCACAACCTCTTTTCCCAAGGAGCCCAGCATCCAGGCAGGTGTCTGTAAGGTAAGATCCAAGGCACCTTAGTGGCTGAGGAAGCCTTAAGAAAGTTCTAAAGTTCTGCCCAGAGCCTAATACATGTACGCTGCTCCACAGCTTGGTCCAGGGGCTCTCCAGACACCTTCCCTGCATGCTGTTCAAGCAGTGAGAAGCTAAGCTGTACCACCAGCCATCTCCTCTGGGTTCTGGGCTGAACTGTTCATTCTCTTATTGGATTCTACACCCTCTCCATGCTCCTCAGCAGCTGTGCTGGCTGCCCCTCTCCAGCACAGAGAGCCTGGCACTGTCTCCACATGAGCACAGCCTGGACTGAGCTCTGTGTTTGAACAGATCTATTGAGACTGTTTGCAGTGCATTCCCAGCTTACAGCGTGGTGTCCAGATGCCCAGAAATGGGAAAGGGATTCTTCAGGGGATGTGGGGCACTGAGACACTAGAGAAGGAAGATTCACTTCCAATGCAAATCTTTGGAAGCCTGTGATTTGGACTCTGAGCTAACAAAACTCCTGCCTGGGTATGATGAAGAGGATGGTGGAAGAGCCTAGAGGTGGGGAGTGGATGCCCTCAGCCTTCTGTGGACCAGTGTCCTTGATGCACAAGAAAGCAAATAAGAGTGACAGTGCCTTGCCAAAAGCTGCAGTTTCTGGCTTTGCTGGTGTCTGTGCAAACAGATCAAGTCTCCAGCTTCATTTTCTGAAGCAGAAAGAGACAGGTGTCATCACTTCTATGAAAACTATGCTTCTTGATGTCCTGGGCACTGCAAATCTACAAATGCCAGCTGTGTAGTCATTGATGGGAAATTCAGTTTCCCAGGTGAGAATCTGATATCTGCATACAGGCTGTACAAAACACCACTTCCTCTAGAGATGATCAGATTTGTCTCATGAGCAGTTTGTTATGGCTCTGCTCTTATTAGACAGAATGTATTTAAAATAACCCATCTCCCTGTCTTGAAAGAGAGAGAGAGATGACATTGCTGAGAAGTTTGTATCAGTCTTGGTGATGAGGTTTTTGCTGAGAAAAGAATTTTCTTCAGTTCACCTCGAGGATGGAGTAATATTTGGGTCCCTCCTGCCTTGATCAGACCATGAATCTCATCTGCTCTTTCATTCTGGGAAGTCTCTTCTGCTCTGCTGAGCAGGATCTTTCAACCTTCCCCATTCTCTCTCCTGACCTGTTCTTCTCCCTTTTCTGTTCCCGCAGTTTACAGCAACAGTTATACTGATCCTGGGTATCCTAGTCATCCATGACGAGAAAAACAATGCAGCCACCAAAGGCGCTCAGCCCATGCTCACAGGTGTGCTGGTCCTGGGCATTGGCCTGGGAATGGGGCTGAACACAGGCTATGCCATAAACCCCTCCAGGGACCTGCCCCCCCGGATCTTCACGGCAATTGCTGGCTGGGGAACGGCCGTCTTCACGTGAGTGACTTGTTTTGCTCTTTTACCCTGCCCAGCTTGCCAGGGGAGGAGATAAGTACTAGATAAAATGTGCCATGAAGCCTTTTTTTCTTTGGACCAAGTGATGGTATCACTGCAGAGCATGAGGGTTGTGCCTACATGAGCCTTGTGCATTATGCACACAAAATTTGGAGAACACTGATTCTCTGGCATGGGATTCACCTTGACACTCGGATACCTCAGGCTGGGCACCAAACTGTCTGCCTGTTCACTGGAGACCCAGCTGGTTTTTGCAGTGAGCAGAGAGCCAGAATGCAGCTCACCTGAATGTGGGTGGATTGCTGAACAGGTCTCCTAAATTCAGAGTCTGAATTTGGAGATGAAACCTTGCCTTCCTCTATCTAGTAACATGGTGTTATGTTATGGCTTCTCCTGTGGGGAAATCATTACCAGAGTCTCCTGTCCTGGATGCCCACTCTCCTTAAATTCCCAGAAAATATATTCGCGAGCTCAGTAGAGGAGTCACAGATTTTATTGGAAAGAGGAAGGCAAAATGCCTATGTCTCTCTGAGAGTCCCACTCATCAAGACCACACAGCCCATTTCTTTTGGAGAGCAAGAAACCTGCAGTGTGGAGCCACCTTTCCATGCTGATGGGGAAAATGACCTTCCCTCCAGCAGTTATGTGGGGGAACAGCAAATTTGTCTAAGCCAATTGTAGGCTTAGTGCCTGGAGTGGGACAGACTCCTCTGCTCACACAGCTCACTCCTGCCCCAGCAGGATGTGGTGGCAGGGCAGTGGCTCCAGTCTGGCTCACCCGCTGCCTCTTCTGTGTTTCATTTTAGGGCTCATCGTTCCTGGTGGTGGATCCCAGTCACAGCTCCAATTCTGGGAAGTCTTTTTGGTGTTCTAATATACAAACTCTGCATTGATTTTCACAACCAGCCTGGACATGAAACTGAACATGAGAAAGAACAGGCAGACATGGAGACTTCCAAACTGTGATGGCCATGTGCTGTGATGGATGACACGTGTGAAGGGCACATCTGCTTGTCCACCATGCTGGTGGACAGATGATGGACTAGATTTCAGTAAACCTACTCTGGTTAAACAGACAAACTTGGTATCTGAGATATTGAGAAGACCTATGTAGGGCTGGCTGTGACCTGAAGGAATTATTCAATCTCCCTGTGTAAAAATCTACCAAAAAACCCTACCCAAACACCAAAAAAACCCAAACCAAAAATGAACCCTTAATCATCATAATCTGAAGAAAAGCAAAGCAGAGCTACAAGTCTCCAGATATGTATATATTGATATAAGTCAAAATACAGGCATCAACAGTGGCAGATACAACATGATTAAGTCAATTAACACATAAACTTTGATCTGGAATATTCTTTGGTAAGAGGTAGATACTACAGTGATGGTCCAGGGGCCTAGGCTTGCTTCATTTGCGTATCTGTCACCCTAACAAACACGTAGTTTGGAAGAGCACAGAAGAGAGAACAACAAGAACAGTCTAAAATAGAAACATGAATCTGTTTCTTGTTGTTGTTGTTGTTTTTGATCTGAACATTCAGGAAGCGTTACAAAATTACTAAACTAAACTACAGGGTCTCCTGAATCCTGACACAGTTCTGCTGGAACATGCTGGCAGCAAAGAATCATGTGTGTACTAAGATTCTAGACTTGAGCTACACCAACTACCACCACAGGGAAGAAGTCACAGATCTTCTGTGATTGGGTCTCCAAAAACTTGAACAAACTGCCCCCCCCCTTACTTTTTTCCTATTCTGAATGCATGAGAAATGTAAGACCTTGCCCCGCTGCTGCAGGAATTCTGCTACCTCCATCTGAATGAAGAAGTGGGCTTGTAACAGCCTTACAAGTTTGAGGTGTCACTGGGTTAGAGGCAGAACACAATCAGAAGATGCCTGTTCCCAGGAGGGTGACAACAGTCTTAACTTTTCTTCTACTTGCTTAAGCAAGTATGGTATGTATGTCAAGCACATAACTGCAGTCCCAGGGCTGGGTGCCATGAATAAACAACATAGAGCTCTCCAGAGCAGGAAGTGACAGAACATCGCTACTGCACAGAATTCCAGAAAAGGGCATTTACTGGATTTAATGGTCATTCCCATCCTGATATTAAAAGCATAACTGAGGTATTGCTGTGGGCTGGGGTGGGGTTGGGTGGGAAGTACTGACATGTGTGCTTTCTCATTAGAGCTCACTTTATGTCAGTAAGAACAGCTAGAACAGATCTTCACCTGTCTCAAGATGCACATGGGCTTGGCGGGTGCACTAGAGGATTTCTTGTCATCTAGGGGCGGCACAGAGTGGCTGCCAGGCAATGCAGCAATGGCATTTGAAGCTGGGCCCTTGGCAGTGCTGGGAGCAGCAAAATATACCTGAGCAGGGGCTGGTGGCTGCAGAGATTTTGCACAGTGACTGCAGGCCAGAAGTAGAACAGCTGCCACAAAGTTCAGTCTTCTGGCCTGTGTGAAATAAACTGGGAATTTCTGAGTAGCTAAAGGATAAGCTAAAAGCACTGTAACCCATCCCTTCTCAGGGAGAGAGTCTCTACTGCCTTGAAGAAGCACCCCAAACAATCCATCCTGAACACTGCTCTTGCCTTTGCATCCCATGCCCATGTGCTCCCCAAAGCATCTTCAAATACCCAATCACTTCCGAGGAAAATATTAAAATATTTATTAAAATACTATTATGCACTTACAGAATGGCTTCATCTTTCTGAAGGCCATACAAATACTCATGAAAGCCTCACAACATCCCTGTGAGGTAGGTTTGTCTTGTGTAATTATGTGGTGGTTATTCAAAAATTAGAGATGATGCTGTTTAAATAGTCAATGCTTGAAGACAGTGATTTTGATTTCCACATTCAGGCATGAAATGTGTTGGGTGTTACTATGATTCCAGCATATTTGGAAGACAGAATAGCACAGAAAAGTAATGGAAACAAACAGGAGTAACTGAATGGGTTAAAGTGCAGTTCTAACTTGAAAACTTACAGTATAGAAAACAGCATCAGGGTAGAGGCATCTGAGGTTGTAGGATCTCAGTGGCCCCCGGTGAGATCCTGACCAACTGAAAAGTGTCTGTTTCAATGGACAGCTCTGCAAATGAATGTGTGACAAACCAAGAGGACCTCCTGGCTGATTGGACTCAACACCATTGACTCTCTGCTCAGCAGTTCCCACAAAGGAAAGCAACAAAGGATCTTGCAGCTTCTGGCTTCAGGATTATTGCAAATCATGTCACCATTTGAAAAGATACAGCACTGTCTTGGTTTGAAAAGACAGGTGTCTGCTAAGGAAGGCAAAAGCCTCCCCTGAACAGGAAACTGTAAATCTCCTCCCTCCAAACTGTTACAAATTTGAAATTAAGGGGGGCTCTCAGGCAAAGATATGGGAGCAAGAATAACAGTTCTTTATTAGGGAAGAAAATAAAAATAAAATAAACAATTCAGTAATACAAAACAACACGAGAGAGTCAGAATACAACCTGACACCCTGTTGGTCAGGGTGTTGGTAGCAGTCCCACTGGAATTGTGGCTGCTGTCCTCCTGGAGCAGCAGGTGTGGTTCTACTGGAGCAGAGATCCTGGAGAAGGGTGTAGTCTTCCTCTGAAGATCCAGTGGAAAAGGCAGCTGCTCTTCTGGGAATAAAGTGGAAAGGCTGTTCTGGTGTCCCAAAATCTCAGATTATATCCAGTTAGGAATGCTTGGCTCCTCCCTCTGGGCAGAGCATCTCCCACTGGGATGCTGTAATTTTATCAGTGATGCAGGGACACTCAATAACCCATTAACAGCAGATATCTCCCTGGAGGGAGGACTGGAGTTTGGAAGAGATAAAGAAAACTGCCCAATTAATGTGTGGTGGGATGGAACATAAGAAAATAAAGATAGTGCAGAAAGTAATCTCACCCCTAAGGAGTTGCATCTGGGCCAATCACCAAAGATTAGGAACAGGCCTGAGTTTAACAGGCCACAGCTGTGACCAATAAGAAGAAGAGTGCTATAAAGGAGTGGGTTGGCTGGTTGAGAGGAATTGGAGTCAGTTGGCTACTTTGTGAGGAAGAAAGAGTGCTCTGAGGAGCTGTCCACGAGAAAACACCAAGAAGGTATGAAACTTTTGTGATACGGAGACAACAGTATGGAACTTTTGCAACATGATGACAACATTAACAGAAGATAACAGCCACACCTCTAACAGATGGCAAATAGAATACACATATTGCCTTGCAATCTAGGACAAGCACAAAGGCCAAAAAGAGGTCTGGGCTGCAGAGCAAGTGGCTAGTCTAATGCAGAGACGTGGAAGTCACAAGTCCCATTGTACCATGATCTCAGAGCAGAAGGTGGACGAAGCAGAAGGAAGTGCAGAGTTTGATTCTATCTGGAGTGAAAGATACTTTTGTGTTCAGTGGGCTGCAGCCTGCTCCCACAGCATGCAAGGTCAGGACAGTTTTCTTTCAAAGGACATGGCAGAAACATTTTCACACCCTCTACTTCAGCATGGGTCTGGTTAAAGTTACAGTGAGTAACATTTGCTTTCACTTCACTGCTGCAGTTGTACAGGAACAAGAGCTTCTCTGTGGAGCAGTGACAGCAAAGGTTTCTTCGTACCCTCTGAAAAGAACATGCTGCAGGTAGCAGAAGGGAACAAAATTGATGTATCCATTTTTTAAGAGCCTCCAGGAACTACATCCACATCGTGGCTATATTTCATGCAAGTGCTGCTATGTGCTTTCCATGGGCACATCTATTCATGCACAAGGAACTTGGTCTGAACCACAGACACTCTGCAGCAGAAAACATCAAAGCTTATTGTAAATGCTGTCCAGGGTCAGATCTGGTGGGCTCACTTCCTTGAAGAATTCCCAGCTAGTGAGGATGTCTTGGCAGAGGTCATGCTTGTATGACTCTTTTGGGAGCCTGGTGGCTGTGAAGGCTGTTTTTTCTTGAGCACTGGAGTTTTGTTCTTGCTTTTAAATACCTTATTGGGGTCCAGCTTGTTCACAAAGGAATCAGCTTCTTCAGACAGGAGTGCTGTGTTGATGGTTATGGGTTTATACATGTTAAACCATTGCTGAAAGACAGCATGGTGGGGAAGGAACAGGTTAAATTCAAACTGCATTTAGACAATTCCACCTTGCTACCCATCTTCCCCAAGATTTGATCTTAATCTTATGCCACTTTTCAGTTTGCAGTTCACAGGACTTGGAAGAGTGCTTGTGAAAAGGATACACAAGGCACAACCCCACCCTGGAACTGCATTCCAGATAGGGAAGAGGAGAACCAGACACAATCCTAACACCACCTTTCCTGCAGTGTAACTCCTATCAAGAGCAAATCCTGATTTACACCACAGGAAAAGCAGAAGGACAGGATGAAACTAAATGACATTTATTTAAATTCAGATAAGCAGAAAGGATTAAAAAACCTTTGGAATTTAAATGTGCTTATAAACTGAAAACCAACTAGCTGAATTTGTCAAAATATAACTTTCCTCCCGCTCTTCATATGTAAAATAATCAATTTTTTTAAACTCCTTACACAAAATTTTGTTTGTCTTATTGTTTCTGTTTCTGATTTTCTATTTTTCCATTAACTAAGTTAGGAAATAAAACTATAGTAGTTATGGTATTACAAATCAAAATGAAACCATCAGCAAAGTGTTGAGCAGGACATAGAGAAGTTCAACACCAAAACAGAGATAATAATCTATTAATGTACTGCTTAGTGGAAAACAGCTTTAATATGCCCCCTTGGAAACTTTTAAAATGATAATGGTTAACAAACTAGGAGGATTTTAACCAACAGGGGCTGCAAATGATTAGGGAATATATGAATGGTTCCTCTTAAGGTTTGCAAATCTACTGAATGTAATAAAATATTTATAGCAGGAAAGTTACAGAAAGGCAGAGCACGGTGCCAGTACACAGCCTTTGACCAATAAAGTTCAGTGCAGTGTAACAGG